GGCAGTCAGAAAAAAAAATTTAGGTTGAGCCTTGCCTGAAAAGTGCCCACCCCCTTATCTAGAAACCATTGGTTTTCAGGTTCCTTCCTATGTTGCACTAAGACTGTCCCACCTTGCTGGGATTTGCTGATCAATGCTTTCATACCTGCTTAATTGTGTGTGTTGCATAATCACATGTAGGGCCTAGTTAGAGCATAGCCATTCTGTTACCTTCTAGACAGCTCTCTTCTTTTTCAGAGACGCCCGGGTAATTGAGCTGTAACAGAGCAGCCTCCTCAGGAGCGGTTCAGCAATCTGGACAACTGCCCAGGATTTCCATCTTTGGGGATTTCTTGAATTTGAATGCCAAGGCTGGTGACAGAACTACATGCAGAACTCAATTCAGGAGACAAATAGGAGAAGGGATAGAATCTACAGTGCATCTGCCCTGAAGAAACATATCGCTCCTCTTCCACCAGATGCTGACTGCATACATGGAGGCATGACCACTTTAGCTAAATGTAGGAAAGGGTTTAAGCTAATAAATCCACACCATCTATCCTGAGCTCCCATCAAGGAGCAGTTCATGCTTCTACAATGAAATTGTATTCATGGCAATGGAACCTACCCACATAAAATGGCTCATGGAAATGGGAACCAAACCACATGGTCTTATGGATAGCAAAGCAGCATATTCTAGAATGGTTGACCTAATTTTCTTAGCTTCCAGGAGAATCCTACATCAAATGCAGGCCTAAGAACATTCAGGGACACTGAAACATGGAGGCTGTGAGGCAGTCTCCAGTCCTATAAATAGAGGACTGATCTCCCAGAAAGGAGAAATGGTGGGCTGTACTGGAGGTGAGAGGACATGCAAAGAAATGAAAGCGGGGCTTGACGACCATGCCATGGGCCCTCAGATCTCCTGGGCTAGGTAAATGAGGGAGCTAACAAAGGGTTAAAGGAGAAAGCAGCTTCAGTGTTTTGTAGAGAGTTATACAAATGTAATGATTATTATTATCCTTATATAATTATTCTGTGATTATCACTATAACGTACATACCTTATGCATGGAGGAATAACTTGCAGGGGCTTAGGAAACTCACATCAATTACTGCCATCAACCTAAGAGTCTTGTGGCACAGGCCCCTGTCAACGCTCCTCCCCCTGTAATATTAACCCTGTGTTGCTGGAACTGCATAGTGGAAATCTCAAGGTGGATGGGTGGGCTGGTTTTCCTTGGATTGGGTCACCCTCCCTGTGTGATGAACAATGAGCTATATTTCACAGCGAAGTGCTGTGTTCTAACAATTTGCCTGGATTCCCAGTGTGTCTTTTATCTGACTTGATAACAATGTTGTTCATTAGCTGCGTTTGTTAACTGATAACCTAAAGCAGTAACACGATACTCATAAGCAATTTTCTGTGTGTGAAGTAGAATAAACCATCTTGTAAGGTATCTGTTAATTGATTTGCTTCTTCTAGCAGCACTTTAATTAAGACATCTAGTCTGTAAACAGCAGCGACACTTATGAATGGAGGGTGAATGTGTCTGGATTCTCAGCTATCAGTTCCTTCTCCATAGACCTGACAGAACCTGGAGTCCTCCACCCCACCACTGCCCTCCCAGCGCCACTACTGGCTCTGTGTTTTAGCACCC